TAACTGTTCTTATTTTGATACTTTCTTGCTCTTCCCTCAAGAGTAATGGAAACATAACACTGAGAAAAATATTTGACTTTAGGAATTAAATTATGAAAAAGATGGTTTAAACTAACCATTTAAGAAACCCCCAATTTTTATAAATTGAGTGAAAACCATATTTAGGGAATTAACTATAGCCACTGTTTATTTGTTTTCTGTTCTGATCTTTTGATACATGCTTTCTGCTTCTTTTTAATATTTAAGAACATTTAAGAATAACAATGTAAATGTTGACATTTAATACACAGTTAATCTTATTATTCTCACCCTGAGCTGCACAGTATGTCAATGTGTGTGTATTGAGTTTTACTAATATTTGAAACTCATAAGAGATTCGGTTTTACTGAGGTGGTTCTCATGAAGGGAGGGCTAGAAAATACTGAGCAGACTGTTCTATTGACCCCTATCATAAAGGTAGAGCAAAGAGGTGAGTTCATCGTCCTCTAAAAATGAATAAATAAGATGCAAAACTGGATAATTAATGTCCTGCCCTTCACAGGGCCAAGTATTCATCTTGATATTTCCTCTTTGCACATTATTTCTGTTTATTATCAAGACTCAATTAATAGCATTTATTGTTATGTTTTAATCTTTGGCAGTTTATCTGTACATCAGTCACAACTGCAAGGCCTACTTACTCTTTTATGTTGTAATAGAGAAAGCATAATAAATTTTACTTAAAATTTAAAAATAAAAATAGATTTCAGTTAAGAGAAGAATATTTAATTGTTACTATGAATCTATTTCTTCTTTTGTTTCTGTATATAATAGAATCTTAAGGATTTATTTACATAAGTTACAGTGAATTTATGAAAATCAACATTGTGCTCTCAAGAATGGAAAAGTACATTATCTTTAAGAACTGCAATATGAAAGACAAGGAATGTATATTTTGATACAAATTATATTTTTCTCCAACATTTGAAAGTAGGTTAATTTGGGGGATTCAACTTAATTGGCAGAATTGAGGCTACATCTAAATGTCATGTATCTATTTTCAATTCCTATCAGCAAGAACGTAAAGATGAAAATAAGGGATTTAATTAATCGTTTCTGTTCCAAATTTAAAGAGAATTCATACACGAATCTTAAATTTAAAGGGTTATCTCAAACACCACTTTCAGTGTGTGGGTTGGATACTTGTTACTCAGGTATTTCATTAATACCATGCTCTGTTTTGGTTTTCATAAACTTAAGGAATCTCCACCAATACGGACACAACACTTTATTTAATTTTTGTCTAGGAATTTAAAAACAATTGATCTCTTTGAAACATTTTATAAAGCGCTTGTGTCTGGGAATAAAGTCTAGATGAAATCTCTCAGAGTTAAGTGTACAGCTGGTAATGTTTACTGTATTAGACTTTTTACTCATAAAAAATCCTTTTCATAGTAAACATCATAGCTTTATAATACTGTAATAAAAGAAATGAAAATAATAGTAAAGATTGAAATGTTTATTTTTAAAAGTTCGAATTATTTTACTTTCTAAGCATTCTTTGATTTTTTTCACTTTTTTCTCTATGTATCTGTGTAATTATTCCTCACTTTGCAGATAAATAAAAATCCCACAAGTCTTTCTGGGTACACATCAGATGATTCTCTTATGACTAAACTAGTTTGCTTACTTTTATTAATTGTATTTGGTATATCTTAAATAAATATCAAAAGGAATGCCTTTTAGCCAAGCCTTTTTTCATAATGTGTAATTACTATATGCACATGTATATTTTATATAAATATATTATATATCTTTGCATAATATATTTGTATATTATACAGGCAATTATACATGCATTCTCCTTACCTAAGTATATACTGAGATCTTTCTAGGGTCCCGTAGTGGATTTAAAAAATCAGAAAGTGAACAAATCCTTAATATAAAATGGTAAAATATTTGCATGTAACTTAAACATTCTTCAGTAAACTTAAAACAATTTCTAGTTTAATCATAGTATCTTTCAAGTGTAAATGTTATATAAATCATTATGCTGTCTTGTTTAGGGAAAATGTTTCTACATGTTCAGGGCAGACACACTGTTTTTCAAACATTTTCCATCTGCTGTTGGTTTGAGCCACAGGATACAGAGCCTGCAGCTGGTGGCCAACTTTGTGCATACATAAACACACACATATGTGTTGTGTGTGTATATATAGTGCATATGCATAAATGTATATACATTTATTTGTATATAGTCTCCAATTTTCCTATGTCATTTTTAACAAATTAGTACAGTGTCAGAGTGAGGATTTTTACCTCTGATACTATTGAAGTGATATATCATGTATTTATTTCCAACCACGTTAACAATTGACCTTTAGATAATATTGAACAATATATGGAAACTTTTTCTGTAATATATTTCCAAGTATATAAAAGTAACTACTTTTGAGGGAGGAAAAATTGGTAACATATAGAAGACAAAAAAAATCAAAGCATCTTGGTACTAGTTGGAGTAGTCTCAGGGCACATGCTTCTGGTTTAGAATTATGAACTAGACCATGTCAGAACACGCATTTTAAAAAGACTGCCACCTTAATTTTATGCACTTTTTAAAGGAGAAACACTTGAAAGAAGAATGAATATACTGAAGAATATACTGCAGTTTTGTCTTCAGTTTTTTGAGTCAAATGAACATTTGATAATAAAAAATTAAGAAGCTATACTCAAAGGAAAGTTGTGGTTAGAAATATTCATCTCAGTTTTTCTACCTCCACCTAGGAACTGGAAGCCACCATCTGGGAGATACTTTTATAAGATTGTTTCTCATAGTTTAGAAAGCCAATTACTGTTAGGGGAGTCAAACCCTAGAATTTCACTGACTTACATTACTTAGATACAAAAATATTCAGCTAACAATGAGTTCACAGTGAAGAATTCAATTGTGTACCATTTTTTTTTTTTTGGTGCCTTTAAGGATTTCTGAGTCAAATAATCTTAGGAAGCAGCATGATATCCAGGCAGCATAGTCTCTGAAATCTTATAGTAAAAAAAAAAAATCTGTTTAGTTTCACATCTTTCAGATATTTTTAAACAAAAAAACATTGTTTACAATCAGCTAAATCTGAGTGAAGATATAAATGGTGCATTATCGCACTGAAAAATAACAGCCTGTAAGATTATTCAGTAAAGACAGAATACTGGAAAACTGAGTATGTGAATGCTAAGAAATAAGCTACATAATCTGATGATGTCATAAGCCTGTCCTATGCATCAGAATGGCACTTTGATCTAATTTAAAATCATATTGTTATTATCTAAGCATTGGGTGCAGGAAGCTAATAGAATCAATAGAATCCATAGACACAAATGCTCTACTTAGAATTAACTTAGAGTTAATTTAATCTTCTGGATGATTTTTTGCCTTTAAGTTCATATAGCACATAAAAATTACATTTCAATATTTAGGGTTGGGAAACCCTATTCCTAAAAATGATTTCAAAGGCATAGAATTGGTATACGTCAGAAACAAAGCCAAGGCAGGCTTGTCTAAGGAATGCTTCAATTGATAGAAAGATGGAAGGAAAGTTTGCTGGTCGTTTGCTGATATAGATATGAATAATTTGCATTAGTATAGATTTTGCTTTATTGATAGAGATTTAAGGTCAATTTTGAATGTATATAGGTTGTTAATGAATAATCATTAATAGTAGTTAAGCTTGTAGTTATGTTAGTTAAGATTTTCTAGATGTGCATAGATATATTTTAGATAGGCATTCTTCATATCTTTCAAAGGCTAGAGAATATGGCATTTTACATGTTTTAATAACTTAGGACTTTTCATGACAATGAGACACTCTGCTCCTGGCAGCACCAATCTACTTCAAGAGGAAGATGGGCATCGAAGAGGATCCTTATGGAGTTTGATAGCCATTTGGGCAAGAAACTGCTCTTGCCTGGACTATTGCATAAACTGGACACAGAGAACCCGCAGAGAGAGGACTGCTGAACTTGCCTAAAGGTGAGATGATCTTTCGGGGTTCCTGATTCATGAAAGAGTCTGCTAGACATTCTTCAGGACAAGCAGATAGTGACTGCCTTTGAAATTTCCTGCTTTGTGGAAATGTCTGCTGGAAACTATGGGCCTGTAGGCCGAAGATGGATGCCCCAACGGTACAGAGGAACTTTGGGTGACTGTCCAGGCAGCGAGATGTCTCTGTCATTTCTAGAGCTTTGGATTTCTTGTTTGCTTAGGTAATATTGTATCTTTCTGGACTCTTTGATGGAGTTAAGAATAGTTAGTTATAGTTTTCCTTAGTTATGATATAGATTATTGTAATTTTTACTTGATAACTGTTTTGTTATATGTAATTTTGCTTTGTTAAGTTAAAGCCTTCCTTTTTTTGTTTAAACAGAAAAAGGGGAAGTGATGTGGGAGTGTCATATCAATCTGTTGATTTCATTGGCTGAGCAATAAAAGAAACTGCTTGGCTGGCCCTGATAGGTTAAAGCATAGATGGGAGGAGTAAACAGAATAGGATGCTGGGCGGAAGAGGAAGTGAGGTCAGACTCTGCGCTGCTTCCAGAGGGACCGGACAGCTCCGCTCCCAGGTAGCTGCAACCCACGATGGACTTAGGCTAGAATCTTCCCGGTAAGCGCACCTTGGGGTGCTTACACGCATTATTAGAAATGGGCTAGTCCAGGTGTGAGAATTAGCCTGTAGGGGCTAGAGTTCATGGGCCAAGCAGTTCTTAAATGAATACAGTTTGTGTGTTGTTATTTCGGGCATGAGCTAGCCAAGCGGCCAGGGTGTTGGGGACGCAGCCCCGCCGTTCCTATTTCAACAGTTTGCTCTCACTTGTGTCCACTCAGTGTAGATTGTTTGCAACAGCCTTCCATGTGTGTGCTTTACTGCCCAGTGAAATAAGTTCTGCAAAATCCTCGAGACCCATTATCTGATATTTCATTAAGTACCTTACTTCTCTGATTAAAATGAAAGGGCAGTGGGTTCTTTACACATGATCATTTATATGATGTAATATAATAATTTAAAGACAATCAAAATCCCCAATGTCATGAAATGACGAACATATAACATCAATTATGCAATCCAAAGTATTTACTAATCCATAGTGTTCCCTTATTTCAAAGAACAGCCTGCAACAACACAGAGCTTGGAAAATCTCCTTTGACCCAGGGTTCCACAGCAGGCTCTCATAATTCTGTTTGGATGAGGGAAATTAAGATGACATGGAAGATATAAGGCTAAATTTCATTATATATTTTGATGGCAAGCTTCAAGGTCAAAAAGTAAATGAATCACACTTATCTTCTGGTAGGTTACAAATGTCTGAGAGACACTTTAGGTAGTAATAGTTCTTTAAAAACAAAAGAAAAGCAAGTCCTCCTACTTTACGTCCAGTATGGGAGGGAAGGTTGGCAGGGTTGAAGTACGAGAGGCACAGGAAATACATGATTAATTATAATTCTATAGCTTGAAACAATCCCTCAAAACCAAAGCTCTGCAGGTCGCCGCAGGACCACAGGAACTACATCACTGATTGTTTACTGACATTTTATTGACTTTTGAAGCTCATGATTTTACAAGTGATTGTACAAAGCATTAAAAAAAAGATAAAAAGATTGTACAAGGGGGAAATGGGGATCCAATAGCTTGCTATTTTATTGTGCATGGTCAGAAGAATGTCATGTGATTGTCGGAGAATTCTCTGACACCAAAGTCGCAATAGCTGCATGTTTACTTCTAAAAGTGATCTTTCATATTTGTGAGCAATAGCCTGGTTCGTCGTTAGTCTTGGAATTAAACTATTTTTTAGGAGGCATATCATGAATTAAATTTAAATCTTGTGAAGAAATACAATATGTAAAACTTTCCTAATTATCTGTCTCACGTAAAATTTGTTCAAAGATGTCAAAAGAAAACAGCCGGGTTCTATTGCTTTTGACTTTATAGTTTATAGTGGTATATTATTTGTGTTTTAATGAGTAAAGTTTGCCTGACGGTCAACGCAAAGCAACGACACTAGTCAACCATACAAGCCACGTAGTGATGGCACACACCTTTAATCCCAGCAGCCATACTAGTTAGCCATAGAGGCCTGGCAGTGGTGGTGCATGCTTCTAATCCCAGCGCAAGAAAGGACTTTAAGGAGGGAAACAGGATCTTGCTCTTTTTCAGCTGGAGATTTCAAAGAAGAAAGGGCTCTTGGCTGTTTTTGCTTTTCTGATCTTCAGGTTGAATCCCAATATCTGTCTCTAGCTTTGTATTATTTGTGCTATAATAGTTTACAGGACATATTAGATGTTAGAACATTAACATCCATGTTAGAATACATAGACAAAGGAGACATGTTTACAAAGCACATACACACACACACACACACACACACTGCTATCGATAGTTCTTTAAGACACAACATCTTTTATTATTCAGGATGGTAAAGGAAATCTTTATGCTCCACTGGGGTGTGAAAAGCAAAATTTAGTGATTTTCCTTGACTTTTGTGATTCAAAATGTCAGTGAAATCATCAGCCACTGGGAGAGTTGAAATTTGAGGCTTTGAAAACAATACTATAAAATGATATTCTAATTGTAGCATAAGAGACCATGATATTTTAGCCGCTGTGTTCTAATTCTGAAAAAAAAAACACTATTCCCAAGTCCTGTTGGTACATTAATTTTGTGAGACATCTCTTGAAGTCAATCAATTATGTTGTCAGGATCATTTTGCCTGTTTCAACCATCAGGGAAAAAAAAAACTTTACAAAGTAACTTCATGTCTATTTTTTTACAGCTATTTTCTACTTAATGCGGCATAAACTTTGGCAGTGTATGGCCAGTAAAACATATCTAAATCCTTTGAGTGTAAATACTCTGATTCTGGGTTAAGTAAATTCTGGGCAACCTCCTCTTTTGAGCAAAAGTTGTAGCATTCCAATGTAGAACTATTGGGTCTAAAGAACAATGTCTAACTCAGAGCTCCAGAAGCCGAGTGAACTTCTTCCTTCAAGATCTTCCCTTCAACCTTCTAGGATGAAGAAAGCACTGGGAATCCCTTCAGGTGCCTTGCATTACCAGGGATTGTAATAGGCCAACCCAGGTGCAGCTCTGCAGATTGAGTGAACCGACTGTAGTAATTGAAGATAGGAATTGAGGGTAATACTGTCAGCGTGATAGTAATTTGCAAAGTCAACAATATTAGTATATAGAACACGTTATTTTTGTACAAAGAATATTGGCTGGCTATTTTGTAGACACTTCTAATATCAATTCAATGTACACTAGAGAGCCGTAACAAAGCTGTAAAGACCACAAAGCCACTAGTAGCATTAAGTGTGTTGGTGTATAGTAGTCAGTAGAGCAGAGAGGGAAGGTGAATTGAAGCAAAGACTTATATCTTAGAAGCATTTATGACATATTGAAATGTCTTTACAACAAGATCTAACCCTATGAGAAATACCTACAAAGCACTAAAGTGTGTTGTATTTTCTGTGGTATTAAAATGAAAAAAATATGGGATAGTACAATTTTTTTTTCTTAACACATCAGTAGCAGCAGGTTCAAAAGTTTTTTTTTATCATTTTAAGTGATTTTTATTCCTTCCCCCCAGAAGCCTTTTCTCTGTAGATCTAACGTAGATCTTGGGTAGTTGGACAAAATTTGCCAATCTGGTTCTGATTCCTTCCATTCATACTTTGGTTTTAAAAAGACTAGCTTATTGAAAGAAGTTGGTGTCCTTGAATTCTTTTTTGCCATCTTCACATTAAACCAGTTTCCCGCTTACCTTAAGCATGCTTTATAGGGGACAGGAAAGGTACTAAATGAGAAAAAGTACAGTCGACATACTGTTAAGACAGGTAAAGAACAAAAAAAAGTATTTAGAATCGACATTTTAATAATAATTTTAAAATGCTAGAGTCGAACATGCTTTTTTGTTCTTGAGAAAAGACTAGGTAATTACTTAAAATGAGACTATACAAAACTATGGTAACTACCTTGCTAATTGGGAATAAAACACACCACGTTAATAAGTGTAAAAAAGTGACCTCCTCTGAAAACGTATAAAAAATTATATTGTGTAAACATATGTAGAGGTGAAAGACAAAAGGCTGACTTCCTTTGTAAAGCAAACATGATATCATCAGGGTAAGTGGTTCTCGTGGACATGTTCCCTGTGGCTTAATCAGGACACAGGTCACTATTGAAACTATTGATACTTTTGGATTACAAATGGAAGTATGGATGTCTAAAAACACTAAGATGGTTTAAGATTTTCTGATTACAATACTAAGTTTACTCTTTTGATCCCATTTTATGAACTCCAAGAAAATTCTTCCATAGAATTCATTTATACAAAAATGTTTCCAGAACCTGTTTTTCCATGCGCTTTTATCCCTTCCGTGTCTTCAACTTCCTAAAATTTGATGTGAGGACATCTAAATTTTAAATAGAAATGCACAGTAATTGTTTATGTGACAAGTTATGAGATACTAAAACTGAAATTAAATCTTTATATTCTGGACTATAAGATACTGGGACGCTTGTTCTTAGTATTTTATAGCAATTACTTATGTTAGAGTAAAACACTAATGTCAATGTGGTTTTTGGCATTTGTTTTATAGACAACACATTTGTTTACAACCCGATTAGCGTTTCGGGTTGTTTACTTTTGACTCCTTAAGTTTAAATTGATGTCTGTTTATTGTTAAAATGGTTTTTGTTTATTTACCAATTTTATTGGTGGTGTTTTTTTACCCCAAAATATTACAAGGAAAATGATTTTACTCAAATACTGATGAACAACTTCAAAATTTGAATATTTTCATTAATATGAAGAGGGCAAAATTCAGTACAGAGTTGATCTATAGTTGAGCTATTTTTTTCCTCTTTCCAAAAATCTGGAGCCAGTCACTGATGAAAGTTTTTAATGTTACCTTTAAAGTTAGGGTATCTATCACATTCAGTTAATACTAATTTTTAAATATTTTTTTTTTACTGCGTCAATTCTTAAAATTATGCTGGTGGTCTTAAAACAGTACATATCATAAAATATGTGTGAATCTAGAGACACGATGGACTTTTTCTTTACAGGAAATTATGGATAATTTTATTACCTACCTTTGTTTAATAAAATTCCCTGCTTTTTTATCTCAATATAATTAATTGTTCTTATGCCAATTCTTTTGATACATTAAAACTATTCTAGCATAAGACTTGGACATTTATTTCCCATGTGTTCAAATTTACTATATTATATAAAGAGGAATGTCCACAAAACTTAAGTGAATTCCAACCAGTTTTCTTCTCTGAATCTTTACCTATAAATGTCATCAATTAGCAATATTGGCTATGCAACAAACCAGCAATACAAGAATCAATTAAACCTGAGGTCCATTAGCTACTGTCCTGACAAAGTATCATGTTACTTAATACTGCAACAAGGAGAAAACTTCAAGTGTAAAATATTACAAAAATATTATTTACTAGAAAGCAATAATTGGTTTATTTCATCTACATGACTTTCTCTTTCAATTGGCTAAGTAATGTTCTGTGTATGTACACTGAGTCTATTTGATAGAAATCTACTTCATGGAAGACAGGCAAAAAAGCATATCACAAATGCCCTAGGGTGGTGAAAACTTAGAAGAAGGTTTCAGAACGAGGAAACAATTAATAGTGTTAACAGGTCAGTGCCATTACGTGAAATGGTGGGTGGGAGGATGAGAGGCAGCTTCAGGACTTTAGCTCGTATAAACAAGACTAAATGAATATACAAATTTCTACTGAAATGACGAAAAGTCAAATTCTTTACCCACTTTTTCTTTTGTTTAATTAGGATCAAATAGGGAATAGAAACTCCCTTCATCTGAAAACTTGGGGATTTTTATTATTCTGAAGCACAGCAGTCAATATGTATGAGAGGTCTACAAGGACCCTTTCATCTTGATGCAAGAGCAAAGTTAACCGATAATATGCAAAGGCCTTCTATACTGGTTTATGTATCCAAGTGATCTTCCGTCAAGGTGTTCCCGTAGAAATGGGGAGGCTACCTGTCTCAAATTCTGTGTAATGAAACAAAAAGTTTCATATAGGAAGGTAGCAATATCAGAGTACCGAGCAAGCTGAACTGAAGTAGTTTTCCCATTGTTTCGTGAAACCAGGTTTTCTCTGATACTGTTTTCACTTAGAGTTTTCAAATCAAACACAAATACTTGAAGTTCACAGAAGAAAATGAATATTTCCAAGGCTGCCTTAGATAGGCCCACAAAGGGATTTTTTTTAGATTACCAAATACATATATGGCACATATATACTTATGTATATATAAAAAAACATTACATGAATTAAACAACTTTTGGGTGCTATCATTACCATTATAGCCTCAGGGGAAAGTAATTACTTCCTCCAATGCTACTGTTTCTCCTTTTAACTAAAGTGTCCATGGACTTAAAGAAAATATTCACGTCAGCTGACTAAGATGGAATGATCCATGGGTTCTGAAGTGGCTCTCAGAATAACGCCTGCTCTTATCCAACACAGCTTTCTTCTGTCACAGGATTTAAAGTTTGTATGGGTAACTGGCTAATCCCACTCTCAACGCTTCCCATCTTGATCTATTGTTTCTAGATGGCTAGTGTGTAGACTTGAATAAAGTAAGCCGCAGGATGTACTACAGAAAATATAATTGGGCAAGTTCATTTGAGTTTTATTCTAACTGGGGCTCCTTGCTCAGAAGCTGCAGGTAGCAGAAGTGCAAGATTTAGAAGTTCTTTTGAAGGAATTAGTTGTGTCCTTATTTTTTCCCATAAGCTGAAAAAAAGAAAAAAATATTGTAAAACCTGTCAGACAGATGAGGCATGAAGGTACAAAGGGCTATGAGACAGAAGATTACAAATGGGAGTCAGAGGGATGGAGGAGGAGAATCAACACAACAAATTATCTTTGAGATTGCCATGAAGAAACCTAATGCTGTGTGTTCATTTTTAAAGGTCTTATCCTCTCCCTCTTCAATGAATATGCTCTGTGCTATTTCTATTGCATCGCTTAGCCAATTGACTAAATTTACATTTGCAAATTCCTCCATCAAAATGGAGCTTACAAAAAGGTGTGTGTGGGGGGGAAGAAGACTCTGTCAAATGTGGTATTTAAACCATGGAATGAATGTGTCTTTAGACACAAGCCTAGTGACACTTTACAAGTAAGCACACAGTGGTCTTTGTTAACTGCTTGAGTGCGAGTTACTCTTCAGCTCATCCCATTTCCTTGGTTGACTTTGTCTGCAAAACCTGCACCAGCTGTGTTTGTAGATTGAACTTAGATTGATTCCTTTGGTGTGGCTCACTTGGATCACAAAGGATAAGCGAAGCTTATATTCTGATAAAGGAAGAAAGGGGAGGCAAGAAAAATGAAGAAAATACTTGATAATATAGTACATACGTCAAAACAATCTCTTCTAAATCTCAATCAGTTGTTTATTGGTTGGCAAACAAGTTTCACTTTTACAACAAATATTAGTAATGAGGTCATCCAACTTGAGACCATACAAAATGGATCATAAATTTAAAAAAAATTATATGTGCTGCTAATTTACCATTTGTATTCCTACATTACTTAAAATCCTGTCAAATAAATAAATTTTCCTGTTAACAGAAGACTTTAAAAAAAAATCATTTCAAAATAATTTGACCTTTCCACTCTCACTAGGAGGGAGGGAAATTCCTCTAACAATTGGTAGTGCAGGCGCCCTCAGGGGGTCACACTGCGCATTCAGCACTGGAAGGCCTATGGAATACAGCTTTTCACATGCAGAAGCCCCTCTAGCTCTATAGACACCTCTTAGCTTCTAGAATCATAGCTACTGCCTTGGTGATGAACTGCTTGCCAAATATGCTTTGCATTACAACAGATGTGCCCGGGAAACATAAAAATTTGTCCTGCTCTAATTTGCAAAAAATAAAAATAAAAATAAACGGTTCTGGAAATATTCGGGCTGGATAAAGATATATAGTGAGGGAAGGACGTCTAATTTTATTTATTTTATTTTATTTTTTGTAAAAAATAATTTGTTTGCATTACTAGAAAATGATTCTTATAAAGTGATAGCTTCATTTCTTTATTATTATTATTTTTTGCCAGGTGAATTTTTAAAGAAAAAAAGGTGGGGGGAGGGGACAAAAGAAAAAAAAAAGAAGAAGAAAACAAGAAAGGAAGGAAACTTGGCTCTTTTACTGGTAGACAAACTTGCAAGACTAGCACAAAAGAAAATTTCTTCTTCGCCACTACATTAACAGGACTCAAATTCTGGAGGAACAGAAAGCAGACTATATGCGCAATGCTAGTATCTGTACATTACATAGAAATTGTTCAGTTTGTTTCTGCCATTAGTTTTATCGTCAGTTAATACAGCAAATCATAAAATATGCACTTAGCATATAATTCTAGAATTCCCCTCCGTCAGATTATTCATTGTGTTGTTTTGTTTTTGTTTCCCACAGCTGTTCCCGCTGTGGTGAACTCAGGTTGAGAGTGACCATGAACCGCTAGGTAATACAGTTCTTCTCTGCTTCTACGGCCGGCCAGCACTCCAATCTAGATGCAGCATTGTTACTAATTTCAAACCACTGTTCTGGCCTTTTTTAAAAACAAAACAAAACAAAACAACAGGTCCTTGTGATTCTAGTAACAGAGCATCAGAGATGTTAAAACAAACACAACATAATTCAACAAGGCCACAATGAGCGCCATTTTCTTCATATCTCGTTCATTAACATAATGAAGTCTCCATCTGAGGGGAAAGGATGGGGAAGAACGGGGCACAGGAGGGTCTCAGCCGTGAGCTCTTTCCCACCTGGGCCGACTAAAAATTCAAGTTAAAAAAAAAAAAAAAAGTCAGAGAGTCTCTCTTTCGAGAACAGCATCAGGTGTCGGAGTACACAGGATGACCACTGCTTATGTCAACTCAGAGAATGGTCCACTGGGTGCTCGCAGTCCCGCTGGCTGCCATCTCCGTGTCATCTTCTATAGACTAGTGACCAAGTGCGCGGGTCCTTTGGAAGTTCCCTCCGGAGAGGTCCCGTCTTTGTTGGGAGGAACTATGAATCCATCGCTGCTGCCGCGCCCCAGCTGGTAGTAGGCGTGCAGCGGGTGCACGTGGTTTCTGGAGCCCAGGTTTGGCATGCTTTTGTAGTAAACATCTTCGGCGTCACCACCCTTGGCCGCTGCGGCTTCGGTCTGGGTGCTGGTGGTCACGCTGTCTGCAGCGGGCACGCCGGCCAGGGCCGGCATGCTGGTGTACAGAGAGTCCCTGTGCGGTGACTGCAGATCTTCTGTGTGCTCGTCAGTTAGCAGAGGGAAGAAGCTCTCGCTGTGGTCCTGGGGGAGCCGTCTCCTGCTGTAATGGTGTGGCTGGTGGTTCTCGGTGGAGTAAACCCTCGGGGGCAGCAAGGGAGCATCAGATTCCTCATGAATGAGTTCCAGGCCCAGACTCTCCTCATGGTTAAAGGACGCTGCGTCGTCCAGGACGATGGCGTCATCTTCACTCCCACTGCCTAAGTTGTTTACCAGTTTGTTCATCATATTCCGGTTCTGTTCACTGGAGCGCTCGTGGTTGTTCAGGTACGAAGGGATATAGTTGGAAGTGAGTTCCTTTAGGATCTTTTTCTCTAGGGCGGTCTCGTTGTGGTTATAGCCACGGTCTATAATTTGCACACAGTTGCTCAGGTATTCACCGCCAGCAATGCTGTAACTGTTGCCATGGTTACCATTCAGTGGTAGAGTATCCATGACACTTGTATCCCTGGCATTGTTCAGAAGCCCCTCTGAAAAAGATTACAAGACACTATGACATTTATATCCAATGAGCCATTGAACACACACACACACACACATACACACACAAACAAAAGCAGAAACATTCATGGAATCTAAAATATGTATAAATTGCTAGCATCTTAAATATAAAATGGAAAGAAACAAAAAGCATATTAAATCTGTACATGTCAGCATGTATGTATATAAAATTCAAAAAAACTAACAGAAATGTTTTAAGTAGAAAAGAACTACTTGAAATAAATTTTAAAGAAAACTATGTTATTAATTTCCAATTTCAAACAAATGGAATTTGATACATCGAGTGCATTTAGCTGTAACTGGCAAATTAAAATAAGTTTTTTTTTATATAGTCATTTGTTGCTTTCAATTTATACACATCAAAGTCAGTTCAATCATCATCTCTAACTTTACATATCTCTGAAATAGCTATAACGTATTTCATGTGTGGCACTTTGAATATGTAATTCAAAAGGAAGAAAAGCAGCTTTTGGTAATTTGACATATAATTTAGGAAGATTAAAATAATTGTTGCATACAAAAACCACAAAAGGATTAGATTAAATTTGCAAGTCATGAAATAATGCCCAGTCAAATAAGTGGCACATCGAAATAATTTATATATACTTTCAAAAGTGTTTGGATTTTTCTACTGTAATCACTTTAGTTATTACTATATATTAATCCATAAGTTATTATTCAGGGCCACTGAAAATACTACAGAAGAATGTGTAAAAACACAGGGTTTTATTCCTAAAAGCAGGACATCATTGTTAAAAATTACCATCTTATAGTGACTGATGACTTGGGATGTATTAAAATTTACTTAGAAAGAAGATAAACATTTTATTCTGGCAAGAAACAGCTGCAGGGAAATAAATTTAACCACAAACTTCTTCAAGGTTTTTGCATTCCCTTGAATAAGCAGAAGTTCAAGAATCTATAATAGTTTCATAAATCACTTTGAGCACATCCACAAAGGGGAAAAAAAACCCTACACATTTAGCCAGTGCTGATAAATAAGGAAGGGTATTTTCAAAAAATTTACTTGAAAAATTCCCTTAAACCTCACAATACACTTCTAAACTTTGAAAATATAGCACCCATTCTATATCTGTGATGCACTTGTATGTTTATGAAAACCCAGTTTGATGACCGTTGAAACAACATGTCACATAGATGGCCAATTTTATATGGACTTTTCACATGCTTTACATTCAAGTAAAACAGATTTCAAAACTAGCAACTCGTGAAATACATTAATAAGCAGTCACCACAGACATAGGTTGAAGCGATTTATTTTCATGTCATAAAATATCTGGTACACAAATTCACAATGTTAAGAAAAAAAAAAAGTAAATGCTTTCTTAAAGTGCTGCATATGACAGGTGATCGCCGTGGGAGAGGCTGGGGCGATATGCACAATGGTTATGAGCAGTGGTGCCGATGCATTGAAACACGCTATTTCATTTTTACTTTTGTGGTCAATGCATTTGGTATTGGACTTAAAACAGCCATAGAAAATAAGGTGGGCGTGTTGCAATGGGACACGTTTTTCATGATGGAATGCACTAATTAAAATTAAAAGTTTATGGGTTACTTTGCAAAAAAAAAAAAGCTTAATTTAAAAACAATTTAACTCACACAAACACTACATGAGACTTAACAAATTACGTTGATTATGTGACAGGATAAAAGAATCAGACAACAAAGCGTCTAATCTCTATTAGCAGATATTTATAGAAGTCGATTTATAGGCTCTTTCGCTTTGAAAATTGTGAGATGAACTGTTTTTAATAACTACATCATCTATATGTGATGCAATAAAAGTGAACTGAAAAAAATTACATTTGATATGCAATGTTTAGCTTTACTCCCATACTTGTCTCTCTGTAGGGCTCTAAACGACAGCATGAAGAAAAGGAAAGAAAAAACAACGAGTAAGCTCACAGCGACAATCGGAGAAACGTGAGTCAAAAGCAAATTGATGATATGCAGAAAAAAGAGTCACAGGGTATCATTCCCACTGCCCCCAAATCCATGAGTCTGTGTTACGTGGTTTTTCATAATTCAAATGCTAAAATGTTAGTCAAAATATAAGGGTCCTCCACCTTAATACACACCAGTACAATGACGCTTTAGTGTTTCTGTAGCTTGCAAATTTCACATCCATTTACATTACACTTAAAATTGTCACATGAACCAAAGAATAAAAAGAGGGTGAGCTTGACTATTTCTTTTCCTTCCTTCCTTCCTTCCTTCCTTCCTTCCTTCCTTCCTTCCTTCCTTCCTTCCTTCCTTCCTTTCTTTCTTTCATTGTTTCGCTTTTTGTTTTTGTTTTTGTTTTATTTTTTGTTTTTGTTTTTTCAAGACAGGGTTTCTCTGTGTAGTCCTGGCTGTCCTGAAACTCATTCTGTGGATCAGACCAGCCTTAAATTCAGACTCCTCCTGCCTCTGCCTCCCAAGTACTGGGATTAAAGGTGTACATCTTGCTAAACTATGATTATTTCAATCACTGCTTTGTGATATGATATGTATGTGATATTAGAAAATATACGCTAAAGGAACATCATATACTTTTAGAAAACATTAGTGGAATTAAAAATAAAACACAGAAAGAAAACCCGAGTTGAAGTTTTCATAACTGTTTTCTTTGGTTACTTGTTTCTTGTCTTTGCCTGTACAAGGGTTACTTTCTCCATTGTACCTGGAGAGATGCTGAGTTGTTTAAAATAAAAGGATCAAGGCTGCCATTTTTGAAGTTCACATTAAGATGTTTAACTACAGGGGCAATATTAAGTCCACTTAGTATTTTGCCTCCCAGTATGTGGAAGAAAAACTGTCATCCTCAATAGGAAGTTTTCTTTGGATTGTAATATCATCATACTTGACAAAATATTTTACGAGTAGATGATCTAAAAGACAATCCCAAGAAATTTTACTCTTTGGAAAACCTTATTTTTGCTGTTTTGTTTATAGAAAAGTAAAAATAACTGGAAATAAAATCAAGACAACTCCTGGGCCATATCACTTTAGCAGACTCTGGCTTGTAGTTCAATGAGTTTTATTTTCTGACACTAAGATTTTTGTTAGTGTATACAAATTGTAAAATCTTATGAGTTGATATTTTTATATATTCACATATTGGTCATATTTACTAGCTAAAGGAAGAGTTTTTTATGTATTGATTTACTTTTCAGAGGAAGAGGCAATCACATCTAAAACTTTGAATTAGCTTTACAAGCAGAGTTAAAAATAAACAGCTAAACTGGTGATCAACAAATCAAATGCTTCCCAGCTCATTGTGGCTCGTTAAGTGAGGCAACTAATGTCAAAAGAGCCTGCACCTGACTTGATGCCACAGCGCTAATTCAAAAGAGAAAGGACGAGAAAGGTGGTCAGAGACTTCTCTCGATTCTTCTACAATCTCTTGTGTTCTGAGCGACAGGCTTTAGAAGCTATAAGGGAATATTAGTTTATAGTCTATGTAATTTCTCATTCCAACCAAACATGGTGCATTCTTCATTGCATCCTGTCCTCGAGTTTATGTCTTTCTTTAAAGCTTTGGATTTGAATTCAATTACCATTCATTTATTTTAGTAAAATCATGACTTTTTCTCCATACAATGTTGTTTTGACAAGTTTTTCAATGAAACTTATTTACATAAAAATTGAATTTCTCAGCCGGGTGGTGGTAGCACATGCCTTTAATCCTAGCACACTGAAGGCAGAGGAAGGCGAATCTCTGTGAGTTCGAGGCCTGCCTGGTAGAAAAGAGCTAATTCCAGGACAGAATTACAAAATCTGCAGAGAAACCCTGTCTCAAGAAACCAAAAAAATAAAATAAAATACAATTTTAAAAAAAGTTGGATTTCTCTTACTGACAAGAAGATAATGGTCCAGAAATACTATGCATGAGATTTTAAATATTTCCTTACATAGGCATAATGACAAATGTGTATTCTTCATTTTTATTTCTAACTCTATATACTTCAATAATACTATAAATACACTTTTACAAAATTTTAAGTAAAAGGCGTTGCAAGCAAAAATGAATACTTTCATTCTGTATGTTCCAGTGCCTGAAAAGCATGGGCACAACTGACTTAGAGGATGCACAGAACAAAATCAAGTGGTAGTTCAATATGAACCACTCCAGTACATACCGAACCACCTATATTTCATGAAAGATTTCCCCTTGCTAGTAAGAATGTAAGTGCATTCATCTGAAAGCATAAGATTAGCACCAATATGACAATCACCAAGATATATTTTTGGCTAGTTTTTCAAAACTTACTTCAAGCACTATTACAGTTCTTTATTGTCTTAAAAAGAGCTATAACATAAATAGCTACATAATTTCAACTTTTTTTTAATTTTTAAGTAAAAAAATTACTTAAGTTTTTTTTATTTAAAAATAGCTCACAGAATTTATTAACTTTACTAAACAAAAGACAAATTCATCTGGATGAAGTCTTCGTATATTTATTAATAACTTTATATAACAATGTCTAGTTATGGATGACATAAGAATACCACTGTGTGCATATGATATTTTAAATTTCACATTGTAAAAATTTTGCTTCTATATCTTTATTTTCAATTTTTCTATGTTACCTGAGGATAGCTTTAAACTTTATCATTTAGATTACTTATAGAGTTTAACCACCAGAAAATTCTTATTTAATAAGTTTTACATGTATTTCTTATTTTAAAAAATCCTTTAGTTTTGGATGAAGATAGAAAGGTAAATATTAGTTTAGGGAAAATTTCAATTAATAATTGACAGTTTTTCCTTATATAAGCAATTATAAATTATGTATAAAAAATCAAAAAAGCAAAACCAAAATAATTTAAATTCAGTATGTAAAACAATTTCAACATCTTGTGTAAGAAGAATAATGTTGAATATATCTAATTAAAAAATATAGTACAAATATTCACATAGCAACCTTTAAAATGTGCTGATATCACAGCATGTTTTAAATTG